TATGCTCCAGACATTGAACTGTCTCAAGGCCTCAGAATTTTTTTTGTTTTGACTTCGCATCTGTAAAGACAAAGTTCTTTAGATGATGATTTTCAGTCTCCACATGTGTTGTTTTGTTTTTGAAATAGTTTTCTCTATGACGCTAGATATTGACTGCTTAAAAGATCAAGCATTCAGAGATCTGATATGATAGGCTTGATAACTAGGTATTTTTCAGATATCATGGAATTTTCTGGAAGAAATTTGAGGCACTTATTTTGCTGCCTCCATCTTTCTAGTATAAACCACTGATCTGTCCACTGAAACTCTTAAGCCTTTTATGCTTATTCGAAAAGGACAAAGATCATCCATATTGGTCAAGCTTGCATGCTGGAAACAAGCCATTGGGAGTTATTTTAAACAGGGAGAGTTTTAAACTCAGCAACTTAAGTGCTTCCAAACACTTGAGAAGGGCTGAGAGAGCAGATTCGAGTCAGTTCTTCCCTTCAGCGGCCCACAGAGCCAGAGAGTCCTGACTCCCTTAGGGAATGGCCTACGGAAGCTACCACTGGAGTTCAGGCAAAACAATCAGTCTCACAGCTACTGTGAAAGGGGGCACCAAAGATTGCTTCAGAAAAGCCTCCTGTTTCCAAGATCATAATTATATGCCAGTGACAGGCAACAGGAGATGCCAAGCCTTAGCAACTGCCACCAACTGCCCTCTGAAATCTTTTTTGGGGATTTCTAGTGCATGGACAGGATTGCTGCATAGGACTTTGGGAAATATGGGGGCCTTGATTGATAACTTCTCCAAGTAACGTAGATAAGGATTAGAAGTGAGCAATCCCTATCCATTAAAATTTTCCATTTTCATAAAGTACTTCCAGTCATTTCCTGAGAGGGTTGAAACAACATAGTCCAAATGCAAATGCAAAAATCTATAAATGCCAGTTCATAGTTTTGTATCATGAGAATTCTGACACTGGTTACTAGGAGCAAAAATTTTTCTCTCTAGCGAGCCTCAGTTTTTATTTTTGGTGATAGTAGCCAGGCCACCTCAGAAAGTAGCCAGAAGAATCACAGTAATTAAGAAAGTAAAAACACTTTTACATATCAGACCCACATTAACTGTAAGAAGATCCGATCATTAAGAATAACCAAAGAAAAATTAAACAGAATGTCAGCTACTATTAATGCTCTAATGTTAAATATGTTATATTTGTTATTCTATTCTATAATATAATGTTATTCTATTCTTTTGTTTTATTCTTTGGACCACACCTGGCAGTGCTCAGCATTTATTCCTGACTCTCAACCCAGGGCTCACGCCTGGCAGGAATCAGGGAACAGTATGAGGAGACAAGGATGGAACCGTTTGGTTGTGTGCAAGATGATTATACTTGCTGTACTATCTCCTCAACTCCGCTTGATTTTGTATTTTAAAAAACAGTAGCACTGTAGCACCGTCCTCCCGTTGTTCATCGATTTGCTCGAGTGGGCCCAGTAATATCTCCATTTTGATACTTGTTGTTACTGTGTTTGGCATATCGAATACACCATGGGTAGCTTGCCAGGCTTTGCCATGCGGGCGAGATACTCTCGGTAGCTTGCCGGGTTCTACGAGAGGGGCGGAGGAATCAAACTCGGGTCGGCCATGCCAGTCACGTGCAAGGCAAACACCCTACCGCTGTGCTATGGAAATGATAGCACAGCGGTAGGGTGTTTGCCTTGCAAGCCGCTGGTCCGGCTGAGCAGGGTTCGATTCCTCCACCCCTCTCAGAGAGCCCAGCAAGCTATGGAGAGTATTTCGCCCGCAGTGCAAAGTCTGGCAAGTTACCTGTGATGTATTCAATATGCCAAACACAGTAACAACAAGTCTTACAATGGAGATGTTACTGGGCCCGCTCAAGCAAATCGATGAACAAGAGGACAGTGCTACAGTGCTATTGTACTAATAAGGCGAAATACAGTTTAAATGTATATGTCTATATATACTGTTACATTTATTTATAAAGCATTGAAAAACAGTACCCCTTTTAAAAGTATATTCTAATATACTACACATGACTTCATTTCTCAGTTCAATAGGAATTTTATCCTATCTGAGAGAAATACAACACTTTAAACTCCCCTGTCAATATTTGACGTAACACATAGTATTATAATACTATAATTCCTAGATCCTGTAGGACACTGTTTTAATAAGTTAAAGCCATGTTTAAATTAGTTGATTCTGTCAGCTATGACACTTTTATAGCTTCAAGTACTTCTTTATATTCACAAGGAGCATGCCTTTCAGATTTTGTATTTTTTTTTTTGATCATTGGAAATGTGATATGTATTTTGCTTTTTAACTGACCAAATCTCTCATTAAAGGTAGGGTTTAAACCCTGGAAGGTAAAGAATTGAGGTTTCTAGTTCAGAAATTCCCTTGATAACAGGAAAAGAATTTCTAGGGCAATGACTTTTCATTTTCTGATATCATTTAGACTGAAAAAATATAAACTCATAATTATCTAGTATTATTTACTATTTTGATTGAGATCCCACTGCCAGTGTGATAAGATGACCTTATGAAAAGTATAACATTGAGCCCCCAGAAATCAATAAATATAATAAAATCCTCTTACAGTCCCTTCCTTCCTACTCACTAAATCAATTGCTTTTTACCTTCTGCTTTCTCATGAAAGTTCTACAATTCATTTTACTACCTGTCAAAAATGAAATGTCTATTTTTTTCCTGTAGAGATACAGTTGTTTGGATTTTCAATTCCCTCCACAATTTTATTTTTATCTCTTTGTTTCTCAGATATTCTCTTGTTTATCTAGGAGTTTTGATACCAGATTTGGAATAACATAGTATACGGTGTTAGAAAACATGGAGTAATAAGGTGATTAGTGCAGCCTATTTGACTCATACACTTGATTTTATCACTCTTCAAATAGAGGAATGAGATGCTTCCCAAACTCAATATTTAGCATTTGAAAATCTCCCGTTTTGTAAATCAGGAGTACTTCTCTAAGCCAAAGTTACAGAAATTCAACATGCCAGAGGTGTTTGAACATACTTCACCCTGCATTCCTCTCATTAGGAAGTTTATCTATGTTCCAGACTCAGTCTAAGAACATTTGCAACGTTTTACTGGGCAACGTGGAAATAAGCAGAGAGAACAAAGACTTTCCCCAAGAATTGTCTGTTGGTGATGGATCAGGATTACAGTAGCATCCAGTCCCCTTGGACAACTCCCAAGTAGTTCTTTTACTAGTCTTTTCTAGCTTTGTACTGAAAAAATCAAGCTTCTGAAAGAAATATTTTTGCTTCTGCACATTCCAAGAAATGATTTTTTTCTCTAGACCTCACACAAGCCTTCAGCTCATTTTATGCCATTGATTTCATAATTCAGTCTTTCTACAGAGTCATTTATTGTAATAGATGTTAGAAAACATAGAGTCTTAGTGAAAGAAAGGTGAATTTGGCTATACGGTGAGGGTCATTCTCATGAAAGGAAGAATGATGGAGGCTTGCAAAATATTATGGACTCATCTTCTGCGCTGAGTGGCATATGACTTAGGTGTTATAGATATGCAATCTGTTTGCCGCTTGCTTATTATGCCAGACTGAATTCTTTTCCTAAGCTGCATGCTATGCAATATAAAATATAAATGGCAATTGTCAAGTCAACACTTTTGTGTTCTGTTTATTGATTCAATCAGCTTTCATATATGACTGTATATTGTCATTTATAACCTCAATTGATGAGATTCAATCCTACAAGGTGTATTTATAATGGAGATAAGCATTTAAAGTGAGAAATATAAAGAAAACTGCAGATCCGTATCATGCACCTCACACTATAATACCATTCTTCGACAATTCTTTTCATTTTCTTCTTCTAAATTTATATGTTTTCCTTTAGAGTTGACTGTTTACTCAAGGCAAGCTCTCGAACTAAAGTGTATGCCTTATAAAAATAAATTGAATGGCTAAGGTTCAAAACCAAGAGAAAAACCTTAATCTTCACTTCTACACCCAAATCTTCACCCTAATCTTTACCTTCTATAACCCAAATGTCACTGGATCTTGTACGGCAGTTTATCCCCTGGTTTTAACCCAGCCACCAGTAATCTAGTTTAGGTGCCTCTCGTTCCTCTAAGCTGCTTATTTGTAATGACTACCGTAATGCACAGTTTTCCCACATCCCTCCTTAGTAGACTGTCACTAGATCTCTCTTCCTAAAATAGAGTATGGCCCTGCATGGTCAGAAATCTTCCTTGCCTTCCTTATTCATATTGAATAGTTCCAAGTCCCTTCGTTATCAGAGAAAGCTCACTACTTTATCATTCAGATTTACCTTTCTGGTTCACTTGAACACTACACAGATGTGCACACACACACACACACACACACACACGCATGCACGTGCGCACACACGCACACGTGCGCACACTGTGTCTGTCCATCTGTAGGCCTTTGTTTAAGTGACATTTTATTCTGTCTGAGCAAAGACCACATCCTCATTCTGTCCTTCCCGAAGACTGTTTTTCATTAAAAATTCGAAACCAATCTCACCCACATACCACATGCCCAAGTATTTACTATGCATATCACAGCATCCGAACTGAATGATGAGCTGTTGCAACACAATTTTTCAACGCTGTTTTATTTTATTTTCATATATATATTTCTTATATGCTGCATCAAATTGGATTGGAGCAATAGTACAGCAGGTTGGACTTTTGCCTTTCACGTGGCTGACCTGGGTTCAATTCCTCTATCCCTCTCAGAGAGCCTGGCAAGCTACAGAGAGTATCCCTGTGGCATATTCAATATGCCAAAAACAGTAACAACAAGTCTCACAATAGGAGACGATACTGGTGCCCACTCGAGCAAATCGATAAACAATGGGACGACAGTGCTACAGTGCATCGAATTCTGCATGTCCTGAGTAAAGTTGTGGAAATATTCTTAGCTGCACTGAGTTGATCCTACTTCCTGTGACATTGTTCTGGCTTTCTTTTAGGAACATGGCATACCCACCAACCTGGGCTATGCAGTGGCACCACATCACTCTGGGGTCTACCCGGTTCACCTTCAGTTGTATGCAGCTTGGAAGAAGGTCTGGGGTATTCAGGTCACCAGCACGGAAGAATATCCTCATTTGAAACCTGCGCGGTACAGAAAAGGCTTCATTCACAATAGCATCATGGTAAGCATTGGCTGCCCTGTGCATCGTGGGATCATTATAACTTACTACTCAGAAAGATGAGATAAAAATCTCAAACCTCTAGTGCATTTTTTGTTTGTTTGGGTTTGGTTTGATGACCACCCTGCTTACCTCTGGCTCTGAGCTCAGGGATCACTTTTGTGGAGACTCGGCGGACTATATAAGGTGGTGGGAATTGAAACTGGGTTGGTGGCATGTAAGGGGAGCCCCCCTCCTGCTGTGTCATTTCTCCAAGCCTCAAACTCTAGTGCATTTTGAGACTGACTTGTCAACATTAACATATTGTTTGGTTATTGATTAACCTTAAAAGCTAGAGTAGCTTCAGATCACATATTCTGCTTCAAATATTAAAAATGATTTCATACAAAGCATTTATGTCATTTCTGGATTGAAGCTGTATCTTAGGATCTTACATCTTGGAAGAGTTTCTCTGTGTCTGTTTGTTTACATGGTGTCATTGCATTTCAGGCAAAATTCCAGTCAATCAATCAAGAAAATATTTCTCAAACCTCTGGATTATCAACAGAATCAAACAAAAAGCTCCTGAGAGCTCAGCTTCCCCATTCACTTTTTCTTTTTTTGGGGGGGAGACACTCTAAGATACTAAAACTACCTTAAGATACTAGGTTGTGGGTTTTTTTTAATTGCTCTTTTCCTTACATACTTCTAAAACAGTTATACAATATATTTTTAGGTAGACTAATTAAAAAGTACTCTGATGTATCAGTTGCTACAAAAAGACAATGAGATATAATGGATTTTATATAGCAACTTATAACTCTTTATTAAAATAAGAAAAATGGTATCATTCACTTTTTAAAAAATAGCACATCTTAAAATGTTTATACACACTTCCAGCATATTCCTATCATCAGGTAATTCCATTACTGCAAGGGGTTAGAATCTTTTATCCTTCCTTTATGTATTTCTCTCTTAATATTTCATTAAGCATATTTTTGTTAGAATTATTTGTCTATCGACCCATCTATGTATTACCTGTCACTTTTTAAAGCCAAAGAAAAAGCATTATCATTTATACATGCTTAGTGAGAACCAGTACTCAATTCTTTAATTATAAAAACTTAATTATTTCATGCATTTCATTTTAACTTAGTATAAACTTACTTTAAAATATGAAGAAATATTATCTGATGTTGAAAAACTTTAGAGTTTAAAGGATCCACTAATAATGCAAGTAGGGATAGGTAAAAATAAAGGAAAATGTGATTTATAATCTCATGTAATTTAAAAAAAACTTGTTTCTTACTACCATTTTACATACTATGAAATTAAAGACTTCATTTTTAACCAATGTTAACGTACATTCATTTACCTTGAAATTAATATAAGCTATCACAAATACACATGAATAATAAAATTATAGCTACTATGTACAAATTGAGTGAATTTTTCCATTAGTAAATAATTACTTATTGAAAATAAGATTTGGGGATAAAACTTGCATATTTGTTTTCTTTCTTTTGAACATTTGGAGTTACAACAGAATTAACTACAAAGTATGCCAGAAGCAATCATTAGATGATGTGATTACTACTGTGATTAAAATTTAAATTCAGAATGTAATAAACAACAAAACAAAGTAGTGATGAAAACTGATCGTTTTGAATTCCAAGAACTAAGTACAACTTAATACTATATTTCACACACAAAAAGAGAAATGACTAATACTCTAGAATATGTAACCTGCTGAATTCTCTACTTTTTAATTAAATCATCCTTTAAAACATTTCTTAAACGTTTCTTAAACATTTAACACACTCGATGGCACAGTAGGTAGGGTGTTTGCCTGGCACATGGCCAACCCGGGTTTGATTCCTTCATCCCTCTCAGAGAGCCTGGCAAGCTACCAAGAGTATCCCCTCCCCCCCAACCGCAGAGCCTGGCAAGCTCCTGTGGTGTATTCGATATGCCAAAAACAGTAACAAGTCTCACAATGGAGACGTTACTGGAGCCTGCTCAAGCAAATTGATGAACCATGGGAAGACAGTGCAGTGCAGCTGGTGAGTAAGATTTATAGAACTGGGTGGTAATGTCATTTCTGGACTAAAACTATATCTTAGAATCCTACACCTCTAAAGGGTTCTCTGTGTCTGTTTCAGTGATTGAGTTTCAGGCAAAATGTGGGTATCTATATGTTCGTAACTTCGATCTGACAATACTCTATATATTTGCATGTTATCAACCGCAACTTTCCATGGCAATAACATTTTGATTTGAGAACTAATGTGCTCTAAAGGAGCAGGTAATTTGCAGGCTGTGTAGTCCAAAACTCTGGGGAACACATTTTTTGGGGGGGTGGGAATCACACCCTGAGATGCACAGGGTTACTCCTGGCTCGTGCACTCAGGAATTACTCCTGGCGGTGCTGGGGAAACCATATGGTATGCTGGGAATTGAACCCGGCCAAGCTTGTGCAAGGCAAATGCCCAACCCCACTGTGCTATCACTCCAGCCCCAACTCTGGGGAACTTTTAGAGAGGTCAAGTCAGTGCTTTGTTTTCCCTTCCTTTCCTCAGGTCCTCCCTCGACAGACCTGTGGGTTGTTCACCCACACTATTTTCTACAAAGAGTATCCTGGAGGACCCCAAGAACTAGATAAAAGTATCAGAGGAGGCGAACTTTTCCTTACCATCCTTCTGAATCCAGTAAGTATTCTGTTGATGCTTTTTTAAAATGAAAAAAATGGTATCAGCATTTTCCTACTATTTGTGTCATTTTCTCCTTAGTCAATTCTTTCACAAGATGAGTTGGTAAATTCAAACCCAAGTAGGATTTTGGATTTTGGAGAAGTTGGATCATGTCTCTAGGCTAGTCATATCCCCGATGATCTTCAATCCAGACAGACGGATTTGTTGGGAAGCATGTGTTGGTTATTACAACTGAATATACTAAGACATCTTGATGTTGGCTTCTTTTCTCGAAAGAAAGTAAATGCATGCTCATGTGCTGTTGATAAAGCCAAACATTAACAATCATCAGTGGTACCCAATTTCTTCATAAATTGAGTTTGCTCCTGGGTCAATAGGCACAACTTTTTTCCATCTCTAAAAATTATCATGATGAAAAACTATATTGAAAATATTTAGTTGTATTTTATTTTTGCATAGAAGAGTCAGCCGAGGCCTATTTTTAAAATCTTTACTAATGTTATTTGTAATTCAAGATAGAGAATATGTACCTTTAATTTTGTAAATTTTCTTTAATTTTGTTTTGTTTTGGTGCTGCCCCCAGCAATGCTCAGGGATTATTCCTGACTCTACACTCAAGGATCACTTCTGGCAAGCTTGGAGAACCATACGGGATGCTGGGGATCAAATCCAGGTTAATTATGTGCAAGGGAAGGAACCTACCCACTGTACTATGTCTCAACTTCTCAAAAGAAGCTGCCCTTTCATATCCCAGGACATACAAAGAATTTAAATAGTGGGTTGCATGTTATTCCCAACTTGTTTAAAGTGAGATAATTTGGGAACTGGACAGATAGTACAGTGGGTAAGGCACAGTGGGTAGATTTGGTCCAGGACACCCTGCATAGTCTCCTGAGACCCTTCAAGAGTGATCTACAAGCACAGTGCTAGGAGTAGGCCATAAGCACATGTAGCCCAAAAACCAAAAAGAAAATTAGACTATGTGCCAACAGTTTAAGTAAAGCCTGAAAGTGGTGAATGGAGAGAGGAAATGTCTCTGTTTGAAACACTGGAAGACAGGAGGGGTTCCTTTTTTCTCACAAAAGGGTCAGTCTTTCTATTCTATTTAGGTCTTCAACTGATGGAATGAGACCCACCCACATTGGGAGGGCATTCAGCTCTATCCTATTGGGCAATTTAAATGTTAGTCTCTTCTCATCACAGCTACACAGACACCCCTATTATGCCAAGACACAAAATAAACCATCAAATACTTAATGTGGGAAGCAAATAGGAAATGAATGTGTGAATGTGTGAATGTAATAAAACAGGGAACAGAAAGAGATCAGATAGGATGAATGAAGAAAAGAATATGTAAACTTGAAACTTCTGTTGCCCATGTGCCCTATTATGATCAGAGAGATCTCTCAGCATGAGATACCTATCTCACTGCTGTGGGTTAAACAAATGATGAAAATGGCCTAATAAATGGCTATTTCCTATTCGAGGGTTTCAGTAAGCTGTCAACAATTAAAACTTCATGAATAGAGAGGATTATAAAATGAAGTCAAAAGAGAAAATATTGTGTTTACCCCAAACTTGGCTGGAGCAATAGCACAGCGGTAGGACGTTTGCCTTACAAGCGGCCAACATGACCAGCCCGAGTTCGATTCCTCTGCCCCTCTCGGAGAGCCTGGCAAGCTACCGAGAGTATCTTACCCGCACGGCAGAGCCTGGCAAGCTACCCGTGGCATATTCTATATGCCAAACACAGTAACAACAAGTCTCATGACGGAGACGTTACTGGGCCCGCTCGAGCAAATCGATGAACAATGGGAGGACCGTGACCGTGACCCCAAACTTCTGTGATATATTATTTTTTATTCATCTTAATTTTTACTTCTTTGTTGAAGGGAATCTCCTTCACAAAAATCATGCTTTATAAAAGGCCTAAACAGTAAGTATGTGAAAGTGTTACTAATATGAGTGTATTAATAGGCTAACTTTAAAGAATATTTGTGTCCTAACAGTCTAGCTCTCAAAAGAGCATCTGTCATTGCATTGTTTTAGCTAGTGATCAAAGTCCTTAGAGGAAACATGTTTTGACACCCATGATATCTAACAGATAAAGTAGTCCCCCTACCTACTGTCGCAATTTACTCAGAATGAGTAAAAGTAATGTGTGTGAGGTCTACTAAATAGGATGATCACTTAGTATTGTCTTAGTAAAATAATTCAAGACCTGTCCTGTCACTGTCACTGTCCCTGTCATCCTGTTGTTTGTGACAATTGTTACTGTGTTTGGCATATCAAATACGTGACAGGTAGCCTGCCAGGCTTTGCCATGCGGTTGAGATACTCTCAGTAGCTTGCCGGGCTCTCCAAGAGGGGCAGAGGAATTGAACTTGGGTCGGCCATGTTGGCCGCTTGCAAGGCAAACACCTTATTGCTATGCTATTGCTCCAGCCCAAATCATTTTTCCATAATGTGAATTTTTTAATTTCACATCATAAAAATGCTATAGACATCATGTATTATGACATAGATTTCTATGTTGAGTTTTTAGGGCCCAGAGTGATAGTACAGCTGGTAGGATATTTGCTTTGCACCTTGCATGCGGCCGCCTAGGTCCAATCCCCGACATCCCATATGGTCTTTCAAGTACCACCAGGAGTAATTTCTGAGTGCAGAGCCACAAGTAACCCCTGAGCATTGCTGGGTGTGACCCAAAAGCAAATAGAAAAAAAAGTTGTCAGGTCTGCAGCGATAGTACAGCAGGTTGAGCATTTGCCTTGCATGCAGCCCACCTGGGTTCAATCCCCAGCATCCCATATGGTCCCCCCAGCACCACCAGGAGTAATTCTTGTGTGCAGAGTCAGGAGTAACCCCTGAACATCTCTGACTGTGACCCCAAAAAAGAAAAAAAAGTTGATATTTTAGTATATTAGATGAATAAAATTATTCATATCATCCTTCTAAATACATAAATATTATAGCACAAAGATAGGAGTTACAGGATTCTACATACACAAGTTGATAACATTAATATCTAGTTTCATTTAGCACAGAATGATAAATAAAATCTAGTAAGATGAAATTTTGTAGAAATTTCATGAAAACTCCAAAATAGCTTTCAATGAAAATCAGTTATAATTCTTTCATTATTTAAAAATAAGTAGTATATAAAAATTAAGTTGTGTCTGCCAAAATATTTTATTAGTAACTTAATTTTTTGTCATTAAAGTTGTCTAAGCAGAAATTTTGCAGTATATGGAACCTACTACATTTATATCTTATCAGATGCTAAAAATATATGATTTGAGGCCAAAGTGATAGTACATTGGGTAGGGTGTTTGCCTTCCACGGGCCCAACCTGGATTGATTCCCAGCATCACATATGGTTCCCCCAAGGCCTGCCAGGAGTGATCCCCGAACACAGAGCCAGGAGTAAGCCCAAAGCACTGCCAGGTGTAGCCCCAAAACAGAAACATGAAAATAATAACAATGAAAGTTTGTGATTCTATTTGCATCTATTTAGGCATGTGGCATATCTCTCATTGTAAACATTAAAAAAATTAAATATTTAATTTTAGACATTCAAGTCAAGAATAATAAATTTAGTTATGCTCTATGATTATAATAGAACAGGAAAATGGAAAAACTAAACTAGTCAATAAATAAGAATAAAATAATGAAATAAAATGGTGAGGTATCCAGTGGAAGAAATACTGAAAGAGGCAGTGGAAGAAAAAACATTTGCAATTATCACTACTCTGAAGGAAATATTATCTTCATATTTAGCAGAAAAATTTTAAGTTTTCATTTTTAGTTCCTAGATATTTTATCTGTCAGCATTCCATGTGACATAATAACTAGAAAAAGCATATGAGGGAATATCTCTCTCTAGGGAGTCCTTTAATACAGAATCAACTACATAGCCCTTTCTTGCGGACAAAAGGAAGGGACACAATTAAATAATGTTGAGAAGTTTCAAGTGTTTTCTTCTAGTTTATAATTTATATAATTATGCTTTGCCTTTCAAAAGGCAAATAAGCCATACTAAGATCAGCATTCTTTTTTTTTTTTCACTTTGAACCACTCTTAATTTAGGATTTGCATCATTTTGGGTCCACCTTTTAGAGTAGGCCACATTCTTTCTGTGCTCAAAAATCTCTGATACTGTGCATTTCCAATAGTATTTCTGATTTTAGTTTTGACTGATATCCACTTCTCATAGCCCCCAAATTAAAATTTCCATTATTTTCAGATCTACATTAAATCCCAAAAAAGCGAATGAGAATATATTTACATCTTGACTCATGTGTGAATTCCTGTTTATAGATCTTTTGATTTTGATTTAGCAAAGTATAAGGAGTTGGATTTATTAATTTCCATATATATGATTTTTTTGTCAAAAGGAATCTAACAATTGAAAATAACTGCTGATTTGAGGGTCATTTGAATGGTGTTCTAAAAAGACAGATGGTTGACTGCCCACTTAACATCCCAGTAACTACCTCTATTCTTTTTTTTTAGATTTTTCTACCATGACCTCATCATATATTGATATTTTCCTGTACTATTCCATACTTGTCAAAGACTAACATGTATTTCCCCAGTGCTGAATCTCCCCTGTATTTTCACTATAATCTTTGTTCAGACAGGAAGAAATATAATTTAATCATGTGTGAGGTGAAACAGCCTCTACCAGGTAGCTCCCCATCATTCAAGTTGAGACACTTCTATAAAATATGTGGCAATTGACAACAGAAAAAGGAATCTGGAGTCAAATCAAGGGTTCTCACCAGTAACTTGAAATGACTTTCAAGCTACCAAAGCTTAAAATGAATATGCCCTACTAGATTTAATTTTTCCCCCAACTCATTAAAATTTTGCTTTCCACAAAGAAGAATATGAAAATAGAATTTTCTGTTATCTTGACAGACATGTTTAAAGATGCTCAGATTCTAGAATGTTTTAGAAGGGCAGTACCGAAACCAAATTATATTGCATTTTCC